GGACCCCTTAAGGAGTAACTCCTCACTGCCCCCTCCCCCATCTCCTCCTAACCACTTATTTATTTTCTGTCTCTCTGCATTTACCTAGTCTAGATATATAAGTGGGATCATATAATATTTGTCCTTTTGTGTCTGACTTATTTCACTTAGCAGCATGTTTTCCAAAGAACTGTGTTATGTTTTAACATGTTTGTAATCACTTTTGGAGTACAGTTTAGGGTGGTTTGGAAAGAGAAGATACTGCTAACAAGAAGACCAAAGAGGAATTTATATGTGCTGGCTATCCGTGAATGTTTTTATTTCCCGCTTCTAGATGGAAAATATGTTGAAGGCAGGGCTAGGATCTTCTTTACTTTTGTATCTCCCGTGATGTATTTCACATAGAAATGAGGAAAGGTGGCAGAAAAAAGGAATTAATGTAAAAGTAGTTTAAATCCAAGAAGAAATGGAAAATTCTAATACACCCTAGAAAAGACTGAAAAGGTAATTAAAGAGCTTCCGTTAAAAGCGGCACCAGGTCCAGAGGGTTCACACTTGATTTCCATCTACTCTTTATAGAACAGATGACTCCAATGTATTTAAGCTATTCCAGACCATAAAAAAGATGGAAATTTCTGTACTTCTTTTTATGAAGCCAACATAACTTCAACAGCAAAAGGTGGTATAAAAAAAGAAAATTATAGACTATTATTGTTAATGAATATAAACACAAATATTAGCAAGTTACATCCAGCAATGTGTGAAAAAAGCAAGTAAGACTTATTCTAGGAACATAGGGGTAGGTTTTAGCAGACTGTGTCTACATAATTCATTACATTAGTAAAAGAGAAAAAACCACTATGTCAATAATTGCCGAAACGTTCTTTAGTTTAATGCAGCAGCTATTTCATATTTAAATCTCTGGTAGGAAAGAAAAGAAACAATTTCAATAAGATAAAGACTAACAAAACTCAGCAAATATCATTCCAAGTGGCAAAATGATAAAGCCTTTTCAGTTAACATCAGAAAGCAGACAGAGGTTCCACTATTTCTAGGCTAGAGGAGCCCTCTTCTTAAGCCCTTGAGGTGACATCATCCAAATGCCCAGTTGCTGAGTGAAGTCTGCCCACTCTGACCAGTCAGAACATCCACGTTGTCCAGCACTGGGAGCTCTGGGTGAAAGCTGTCAAAACTCTCAGTTGCCTCTTTGTGCCTTATCAGAATCCTCTTGGTTTAATCTGCTTGTACTTCTTTACACAGCATCCCATCTTAGAGGGATAAGTGGTGGACTCTCTTCAGAGCCCCATAGTGATTTTTTTTTTTTTTTTAAACTTCATGGCTGCCAAAGGCAGCATGGTGTGATAAGCAGAGAGAGACTGGCATTGAAGTTGATAATTCGCTTATCATTAGCTTTACCAGTGTAAGCCATGTGACTTAATCCTTCTGAGCCCAGTTCTTCTGTAAAATGGGATAATCTTCACCCTGAAGGGCGATTATAAAGATTAAATAAGATAGTGTTTGCCAAGCTCCTAGAAGAATATTCAGTAAACGTTATTTTGCTTCCTGTTTGTGGCTCTTTTTATCAGGAGCCCAGGTTACTCAGGGAAGCATAGGTAGTTAACATAAATTGTTGTTGTTGTTAGTTGCCGTGGAGTTGATTCCAACTCATGGCAACCCCACGTGTGCAGAGTAGAACTATGCTCCAGCATATACAGGTATGGATCATTCTGAAAATGGCTTCAGCCACATGGAGCTGTTTCAGCTGAGCTGTTTTCCTTCCAAAGCTGGGTGGACTACAATTCTAGCATGAGTTCAGAACAATTAGAGATGGTTCCTTGAGAACCTAGAGTGAAACTCCCTAGAACTGTGGCCTCGTGCCTCCTTGTGTCCGTCAGCACCCCCCACTGGCCTGGAGTCCCACAAAGTCGCTGACAGCTGCATAGACAGAGGGCGCTGCCAGTGAGCGGTGACTGGCCAGGCACCTTCCAGGGCTCGTGTCACTTGGCAGCCTTGTCACTAGACCTGTTTTTCAGCTTGAGAGGAGAGTATACTGGGCATGTGTTTGTGTTTCCTGACCCAAACGGGCCATTGACGTCAAGAGTCAGTCCTGTTATTGGGTGACTTACGCCTTTGTGTTGTTCTCATCTTTAGCTTTGCATGGTGTTGGGTTTTAGAGAGTATTTATTTTTACCAATTTTGAACTGAATGATATCATTACCTTGAATCTGTATGACACTTTCATGTTTCTAAAACATTTCGTATGTATTTTCATTTTTTTCTGTGAGTTAGCCATGACACGCTCATTCTTTTTTTTTGTGTAAGGAAAGTGAGGCTCCAATTTGTTGTATGACTTGCGCAAAGTCACACAGTTACTAAGTAGCGGAGCCAAAACTTGTTCGCAGGTCTTCTGGCTTTGTCCAATATTTTTTTCCACTGGACTGTGGTGACTGAAATGTTTGGGGTAGAAGCCTGGAGCAGGCTTTGTAAGAAATTCCCCCAATTATACCATTGTTTTCTGCCTCATTACCTCGTGTTGTCAGGTAATGAGAAGCATTCCTCCTTCCCCTGAGAGTATCAGTGGGATTGTATTAGAACTCTATAATGTCTTTTATAATGAGAGCCAAAGGCCTTTTGCACATATAATTTTCCATCTTTGTATCTAACCTTCACATTTGATGTATCTAAAGTCCTACACTAACATCAGTAAGGAGAAAGCCACTGGGAAGAGGAGTGGGGGAGAAGTGGGCAGTATTCTTGTTGTCCAGGAGTTGCTTGACTGGGCCAAGGTGGAAGGTGCCAGGTGCTCTGAGATGGCCTTGAGGGCCAGAGGGTGGAGCAGGTGTTCTGAATAGCGCTTCAGCCAGCCGTGGGCTGCTGCCCCAGGCCTGCTGGAATGCTGGCACCCAGCTTTTCAGTCTGGTCTTAGGAAGAAGCTGTTGGGGAGGTTTACTGAGACCCTAGAAATGCTTGTTAATGGTGCTCACTACTGTGTTGGCAAAACCCACAGCACTGCCCCAGTTGCAGCTCTTGGTACAGTGGGTAAAAGTGCCTGACTTGAAACATTTTCACTTTTCTGCCCTCCAGTGGCCAGTTACTCCTCCCTCCTTCCGTCCCTCCCTTCCAGTAGGGACCAATTCTGTTAAGATTGGAAGTTTCTGTATGGTTTGTGACAGTGGAGTTGGGGTGTCCCAAGGTTTCTCCCAGATAGCTGTAAGTGCCTAGACGAAGCACCTTGAAAATCGTCCCTTGTCAAACACACAGAGGGAGAGAGTAACATCACTAACTTGAGATGCAGGTCAGTGTGTGTTGAGGATGACCTGTATGCAAGGTACAGAGTTTGCTGCAATTGTTAATTGTCAGTTGTCATTGATAGTTGCTGACAGGGAAATAATTAAAATACTACTGAACAGTAACTTGCTAGCTTTGTGACCCTAGCAAAGTCACTTCAATTCTCTGTGCCTCAGTTTTCATATCTATCAGTGGGGACAATAATAGTGCCCACTTCATAGGGTTGTTGTGGAGATCAAATGAGTTAATACGTGAAGTGCGTAGTATTAGTTATTATGTAACCACATCAGCGTTGGTACGTACCAAGCTGTCTGTGCAGATGTTTGGTTCTGGCCACGCCATCCTGACCCTACCTTGGTATGCAGTAAGCTCTGTCATTGTTGGTTTCGCCTTTAGTGGTAAATTTAAGGAACTGAAGCTATTATCTCAGAGCTATTATTGAGCATAACTTGACCATTTGGTTAAGATGATCTTTCCCTGAAAAACACCAGGGAACCCAGCTTTTCAGAACTGTGAAGCATAGGTATTCGTTTAATTCTTTATATGTTTCAACTGTTGAATTGAAACTAGTGAGAACGGTCAAAGTACTGCTATTTAGGATTCTTAAATATTTAGGATTCTGAGACTTAGAAACACCTGCCACTTAAACACTCTCTTCGTTAGTTTTCTCATCTGTAAAATAGAGATACTCATTATAAGCATTATGTCAGGGTTAGCTGCTGCTACCGTTATCTTCGTTATTTCATACATGAGCTTTAGAAATTAAAATCCTTGAAAGTAAGAATTTAATAATTGACTTAAGTTTTTGGTCTACAGTCATATAAAGATAAGCATTTAAAATTTTGAGCTAGAGAAATTCAGTTTTTGGTAACTTTTGTTTATGGTTTAAAATTATATTCTTTTCTAATTTAGTGGCTCGTTTAATTGATGATTGAAGAGATGGTAGGGACTAAACCCAAAATCCAAAAAATTTAATCCATTATCTATATTGGAAGTTCCTTTAGAAAAAAGAAGCCCCGGTGGCACAGTGGTTAAGCGCTGCAGCTGCTAATCAAAAGGTCGTCAGTTCAAATCCACCAGCTGCTCCTTGGAAACCCTCCAGGGCAGTTCTACTCTGTCCTGTAGGGTCACTGTGAGTCGGAATCAACTCGCAGCAGTAGGTTTTGGTTTTTAGCAAATGTAGTTTTTATTTGTCAAATTATATGTTTGAAAATTAATGTATTAAAATAAATTGTATGAGTGAATTGTTAGAAGTCAGTCTTGAAAATACACTTTTTCCTCCCTTGTGGAAAGGTGGTGTTTGGAAGAAATGAGAGTAATTTGAAAAGGGCCTGATTATAATGTTTATTTCTCTTGGAAAAAGGAGGGGGGAAAAATAAACATTTCTAGTGATGTAGATTATTTTTAGGTGCTTGAAGTTGTAACTTTATTAATCTTATTATAAACAGACTCCTACTAGACTATTACTCAAGTAATACAAGTTATTGTAAACGAATATTCAGACAGTCTCCATTGTTTAAGTAACTAGAGTATGATATATAATGCTTTTTCTATGAAAAAGAGTTTTATAACCTTAATTATTAAGCAAGGAACTCAGTATACTGATTACTGTTGTTGTTAGGTGCCGTCGAGTCTGTTCCGACTCAGCCTTTTTCCTTAGCAATTTCATGTAACGTTATTCTGTTTGTGGATTCCCTGTGTTCTTGTGTTCACTTCACTCTCTCTGTTTTCAGTGACTTAGCCCTGCGGAATTGTTTTCTTACCTCTGACTTAAATGTAAAAGTGGGAGATTATGGAATCGGATTCAGCAGGTACAAGGTAAGCCAAAAGTTTTACGTGTGATCTCCTCCATCTGATTTAATTTCATGGTCATGTTATTGTAATGTGGAAATACCACTCCATTTTTGGAAGAGAAAGGTAAGACTCTCATCTCTGGTGCCCTTTTGGAGAGGAGTTTGTACCAGTTGTTCTAATGGTGGTGCTGGTTTCTGATGTGTGGTTTGTCAGGTCAGTGGCTGTGTGCCTGGGGTTTTGTGACAGCTTTCTGAATGCTTTGTCTAAAAAGACTTATGCACAGTGTAATTGATATACTCTGAAAGTGCACAATATATTTTAGTATGAACACGTGGGTAGTGATTATTATTACCTGTATGATAAAACACACGTCATGTAAATATTTCTCCATTATATGCTCAGTAAAATTTTGGCTCACAGTCTGTAAGTTTGGGATTTAGGTTTTTAAACTGTATAATAAGTATATCCCACCCACTCCCAAAAGGGAAGAAATCCATGAGATTTTGATATCTGTGCGTGCATTCATGCGTATGTGTGTGTATACATGTGTCTGTATATGACCCAGCTGAAAGAAAGCTCCACCTAGTCAGGAGGCCTTAGGTAAGCCACTTGGCCTCCATTTTCTGAGCAGCAATACTCGGATAATACCTGTTCGTCTTATATAAGGTTGTCCCAAGGACCAAATGGGATACTATTTTCAAAGTACTTTGTAACTAAAACATATTCTGCAAATATGAGCTGGTTATTTGCCTGCATGTTAGCTCTAGTGTCTTGAGCACTTGCTATGTACCGAGCACTATGAAGTCCTTGCCTGCACTACCTCCTTTAATCCTCCTCACAAAGGTAGACAGACATTGGATAACCCTCATTTTACAGATAAGGAAAAAGGCTTGGCATATTTGTTGCTTGCCTGCAGTCACATGGGTGGTAAGTGGTAGAGTGAGGACCTGCAACCCAGGTCTGTCAGATTCTACACTCTGTGCTCTTACTCATTAAACGGCACCACCACTTCCTGTTCAGTGCATAAGGGCTGGTACTTTTTTGAAAGACGTGTTGCTCAGAGTCTGTGTTCTGTGCATTAGACACGGCGTACCTTCACTTTCCAGGAAGGTGAGTTAGCAAGCGATCATGGCTCTGAGACCAGCCGATAGAGCCAGGAGGCTTCAGAGAACCTCCTCACGTACCTTCTGCCCAGAAAGCCTCTCTTCATGCCTGCTTTTTTTTTTTTTTTTCCTGATACGTCTTTTGGGGTGGGTATGTGTATTCTGAGAATAACCTGGAATTGAATCACTAAGCTCATGAAAAGTGTAATTCTGCTCAAAATGCTGTATACTTTTTAATAAAACAGGAGGATTATATTGAAACCGATGATAAAAAAGTTTTCCCTCTGCGGTGGACTGCTCCAGAATTAGTAACCAGCTTTCAGGACAAATTACTAACTGCAGATCAAACTAAATACAGTAATATCTGGTATGTATGTGTTTACCACTTTACTAGACTTTTGTTTAGCAAAGTCTTAACTTCTTTCTCCTTGAGTACTTTCTTAATGGAAAATAATCATATAAGATGTAGGAACAAAAGAGTGCCCAGTGGTGTGAAAAAGACAATTCACTGGTATGATTGCAGTGATCACAATTGCGATTATAGAAGTAACCTTTGGAATACTGCCTCTCTTACCCATTTGACAGTAATAAGCTCCCTAAAAGCAGGAACCAGGTCTTTTTTATCTTCTGTGCCTAGCGCAGGCCCTGCATATAGTAGATGTTTAATAAATATTTTTTGAGATGAATGAAAAAGCATAAGGGGGTTTGGACTACTATATAATACTGTTATTTATAAGGGATCGGTTTAATGGAAACTGAATTGTGTCTAATCTTTGACTAACAATTTCTATTACAGTCTTCTTAATTTATATTTACCATCGTATTTTATGCTGTTGTCCTACTTTTTCTGTTTCTCTCTTCTTGCCTTCTTTTGGATTGATTTTTTTTTTTTTTTTAGACTGTTTTTTTCTCAGTTTGGAAGTTGTATACTCTGTTCCTATACGTTTATTGGTTACCCTAGAAATTATAACACGCATATACTTCCCTTACATTAGTCTAATGTTAATCTGTATCTTGACCCTCTTTCTCAATAGTAACAAAGACCTCAGAATACTTTAACTCTGTTTAACTATGCACCACATGCATACACACACAACTTTTATGTTATTATTGTTGGATATTTTAATTTTTTCTTTTAACCCCACAGACATTATTAATGTTTTTTAAGCATCAGTGGTTGTTTAAATTTACCTACATAATCAAATCACTTTACTCTTCATTTTTTGTTTTGTTTTGTTTTGTTTTAACTCAGGCCTTCCATCTGAGATCACTCTCCTTCTGCCTGAAATGTGTCCTTCAGAATTTCCTTTAGTGAGGGTCTCCTGGTAACAAACTCTCAGTTTTTTGTAGGTCTGAACATACATTTATTTTGTCCTCATTCTTGAAATATATTTTCACTTGATGACAGTTATTTTCTCTCAGCTTCTTGAAGATATCATTCTACTGTCTTCTGGCTTCCATTGTTGCTATTGAGAAGTCAGCTGTAAGTCTACCTAAGCTCTTTGAAGGTAATGTGACTTTTTCTCTCTGGCTGCTTTTAAAATCTTCTCTTTGTCTTTCATTTATTGTAGTTTCACTATGATGTGTATAGGTATGGATTTCTTAAGATTTTCTGCTTGGAATTTATTTGGCTTTTTGATCTGTAGGTTGATATTCATCATTTCTAGACAATCCTCAGCCCTTACCCTTCAAACGTTGCCTCTGCCCCATTCTCTCTCCTTTGGAAGTCTAATTAGACAGTTGTTATGCCTTCACACTCTGTGTTCTGTTTCTTAATTGTCTCTCTTATATTTTCCTCAGTGAATATAACTAGTTAACATGAATAGTTCTTTGACCCTCTGTGCCACATTGTGGATAATTTTTCAGACCTTAGTCCAGCTACTAATTCTCTCTTCAGCTGTGTCTAATCTTTAAACCTCTCTGTTGAGCTTTATAGTTTCAGTTATTAATTTTTCTGTTTTCGAAGGTCTATTTGATTTTTTTAAAAATTTGCCAGAGTGTTTTTAGTAATTGGGGTATGATCTGTGTCAGATAATTCCAACATCTGAAGTCTTGGTGGATTTGCTACTGCTAGTTCTTGACGATGCCTTCTTTCTTTTGGGACTTGTTTGTGGGGAGGATTCTTGGAAATGTAGAATCAAGCAAGGTACGTTCCCCCAAAGAGGAAATACATTTACTTCTGCCAGGCACCAGGGTGCACCACCATGCACAGGGCTTGCTACTGGTCCAGGACTTTACACATTCACTGGAGAGTTTGTGAACCGCTCAGCTGATGTGATTTGGGGCTGTAAGTCTAGGTAACGGCCAGTTGTGTGGTTACAAACACACACATTTGTACCACCAAGGCATCTTGCCTTTCAGGCTCCTGAAAGCAAGTAGGGGGCAGGTTTATTCCTACCATGAGGAAGTATCTCTGTGAGACCCCTTACCTTGGCCAGACCCAGGGCTTTGGCTTGTCTGCCACCACCCCCCACCACTCCCATCAAGCGCTGGAAACCAAGAACACAGAACCAAGTCTGTGGTTCAGCAGTTGCCCCAGGGCAAAGGTGGTTTTAATGTTCTATTTAGTTCTCTAAGTTCTCAGTTTTGTCCTGGTAATTCCCTACTGTCTTATCAGTTCTTAGATGCCTTAAAAAGATGCTTTTATGATTAATCCTTCATTTTTATTGTTCTTTGTGGAGGGAGGTGGTTGACATGAACGCTTAGCCTACGTTTCCAGACACAGAATCATGTCCACTGGTTTAGGCGGTTTGTGAAGTCGCTGATAGCAGTGTCAGAGGCAGAAGTGTCCCATGCAACGTGCCACGGAGTGAATGGCAGGGTGCATTAGGGACCTCGCTCAAAGAGTTAGGTGGTAAAGTGTTGATAAGAGCTATTAGGCTTTTTCCTTCCAGAAGAAAGAGGCTTGATGGTACTCAAGGAGGCAAGAGCCAGTGGGGAGGAAAACATTGAATGTACAGGCTCAGAGGAGGTAACTGATGGGGATTATCCCAGAGGAGACTGGACGGGATAGAACAGAGACTTCAAGTGCAGATTGACCTTGACAGGAGACATGTCTCCTCTTTCTCTGAGGCCTTTCTGAGGGATCTCAAGAACGATGTTAGAAGGTGGTAAGAGTAGGGAGTTGAGAAAGCCCCTGCTTGGTTTTCTCTGAAGAATAGGGCTATGGTAGGAACTGGACGGGGGGTTTGTTTTGGAATCGCCTTGGGGGAAGGAAAGGAACTTAACTTAGAGATGCAAAGGAATTGAGATAGGTAGAGGTATTTGTCAGAGGTCAGAACAAGTTTCTGTGGTGATAACACTTGTATTGCTGTTGACTCATAGAAGCTTGGGAAGGGAACAGTAATAAAGGGCCATTAGCACCCTTTGTTTGATGTTTTTCCAGTCAGTAGAACAAGATTGAAATGTTATGTTTGGCCTTTGTGGTCTTTCCTAATTTCATACATTTTTTATTTTCCTCAGTTTAATTGTAAACTCCCCTACAGTCACTGACAGTGTCCTAAACTTCTTTTGTACCTAGAATGGTCCTCTACCCCTACACTTATGTGCCAGGGAGAAGGCACATCTTACTTCCTAAATTGGATTGAGGAAGTTATCTTTTTTTTTCTTCGATGAATACATAAATAGATCTCTCAGTTTAGATATTGAATATGCTGATTTTTTCTCACTTATTTGTGAAATTAGCATAAGAATTTGACCCATAAGTTGTATTATACAATTTCTAATTATAAACTCTTATTTATACAATACAGTTTTTTATTCAAATAAGCATTCTGCTGATTATCAATCAAAATCACATGAACCATCAATACCCTAACCTGGCTGGGCATCCGGATCACATAGGGAGCTTTGCAAAAATCCAGTTTTTTAGGCCACACACTGGATCTACTAGACAAGAGTCCTCGGAGGTGGGTCCTAAATATGAGTGTGTGTGTTTGTTTAAAGCTTCCCAGGTGACACACATGAGCAGTCAGGTTAGAAGCCATTGCAGTAAATGGATGATGATAGTACATGACAGAACGCGGTGAGTGGAGGGAAAGAGACACAACTAGGAGATACCTTGTAGAGGAAGTGACAAGCACAGTAGTTCATCTTGCTTGTGAAGAAGACAACGTTTTCCTGGGGACTGAGCACCAGGGCATGGGTGTGAGGTGGGTTGGCGCCAAGCATCTCAGAGTCAGCCATGCAGCCTCTTTGACTCACAGCCAGCCAGCTTTAGTAGCAGGGAACCCCCTTTCATAACAGCAACAAAACCCAGAATACGTAGGAGTAACCAGAACAAGAAATGTGTGGGTTTAACGGGGAAAGAGATCATTTGTACAGGGAAAGAGATCATTTGTTCACGGAAAGATTTCTCTTAGGTTTTTTCTGATGCTTACTACTATTGTGAATGGAACTTTTTTCCTCTCACCAAAACCCTCAGAATTTAGGGTATTTATCTTGTATCCAACCATTTTGCTGAACTCAGATCATTCTAATGGTCTTTCAGATAATCTCTTGAGTTTTAAGATTGATAGTCATATTATCTCATCCCTACAGTGATGCCTGTTGTCTCTGTCTCGGATCTTTTTGCATTGGCCAAAACTTCTGGAGTAGTATTCAGTAGTAAGTGTGAGGAGGCATTCTGGTTTTGTCCCTCATTTTAATGAAAATGCTTCTTTGCCGCTATTGTGATGTTGATTATTGGTTTGACAGGTATTTTCTCATGTTAAAGAACTTATCTTATTATTAATAACCTTTTCATTGCGCACCTTGTTCCTAAAATTACTAATGACTGTACAGACAAAAATGTGGGTCTAAAAAGTTTGGCCTCTAAAGGGAGAAAGAAATAACTATTTTTTTCCCCACAGGTCCCTGGGCGTGACACTTTGGGAGCTTTTTGATAATGCTGCTCAGCCGTATTCACACCTTTCCAACATAGATGTTCTCAATCAAGTCATCAGAGAAAGAGAGACAAAACTCCCTAAGCCCCAGCTGGAGCAGCCATATTCGGATAGATGGTTGGTAACTTCTTGTCTTGTTCTGTTCTCTTTCAGAAGATAAAGAAATTATATTTCTATAGATGTTAGTTTATATGTTCCCTATATTTAAGTAATGTGGTGAAAAGCAGTTGTGTTTGTATCTTTATTCATGATTGATTTTATAATTGATGTTTTTAAAATTTAATGTTTTTGAAAAACTGTTTATAATAAGCAAAAATATATGTATGTATGTGTTTCACGCAATAAGAAAAACATTTTACATCAGAACTAATTAGAAATGGGAATTTCCTGTTGTGGATTTTTTTTTTTTAATGAGGTTGTTTATTTAAGTGGTATCTAATATGTGACACAGTATATACCAAAAGCCCATTGCCGTCGAGTCAATTCTGACTCAGAGCGACCCTATAGGACAGTAGAACAGCCCCATAGGGTTTCCAAGGAGGGGTTGGTGGATTGGAACTGCCAACCTTTTGGTTAGCATCCGAGCTCTTAACCATTGTGCCACCAGGGCTCTGAGACAATATATAGATAGTATAAAATTATATTTTTTAAATTGGTGATTAGAACTAATTTGCATGATCTACGTTGACATTTGCAAAACAGATTTATTTTCTCTGTGAATCTTAGGACCAGTTCTTGCTCTGTTTCCTGTGTGAATCAGTTTTACCTCTCTTTAGACCGTTGTCCATGCCACCACGTGCCTAGCTGGCATTGCCTGTGAAGCTTGGTGCCCCTGCATTTAGACACTGCTCAGCTTCTCAAGTTGCTAGAATTTTATTTCTCCTAGAATAACTCAATATATACTCTATAGATTTAATGTTTTGGAGTGTCTTTGTCTTCCCTTCTGCTTACGGCTACAGTTTGATGTTGGTCATCCTCAGCCAACCCTTCAGTGACCCAGCTCCTAGTTGCCTTTTTCCTTTGGATTTCATTCTCTACTCTTTTCCGTCCGCATTCAGCTCCTTTTATGATCAAAGTAAACCATGTGCTGCTAAGACTGTGGTGTTACTGGTAATGGGAATAGTTAGAGACAGCCTTTGTCTATGTGAGCTCTCTAAAAACAAAGTGTCAGTAAATCTAAAATTGTAAGACAAGTGCATTCTTTACTCAACAGAAAACCTAAGGCAATTGTTTTAAGAGGAGAACACGTTAAAATTATCCAAATTCAGTGGAGAAGCCATTAGAGAAACGCCAGAGAACAAAAATGATGGGCGAAAAAATTTCAGTTAAAAACACAAAAAATTAATGGACCAAATTTTACATTTCTTCATTTCCTCTTTCACGATGATAGCACAATAAACTGAACTCTGATGTGATTGGCAGTGATTAAGGGGTAGAAACTTTGAGGTGTTGAGTTAGCTTAGGGGTTATTGTAACGACTTATTTTAAAACAATTTATTGTAAGTGCGTTAACTCCCTTCCATGTGTCGCTCAGGTATGAAATTTTGCAGTTCTGTTGGCTGTCACCAGACAAGAGGCCAGCAGCGGAAGATGTCCACAGACTGCTGACTTACCTGCGGATGCAAAGCCAGAGGGACTCCGAGGTCGACTTTGAACAGCAGTGGAATGCACTTAAACCAAATACGAATAGCCGGGACACTTCAAATAATGCTGCATTCCCAATTCTCGACCATTTTACCAGGGACCGGCTTGGTCGTGAAATGGAAGAAATCCTCACAGTGACTGAAACGAGCCAGGGACTCAGCTTCGAGTACGTCTGGGAGGCGGCGAAGCACGATCATTTTGACGAGCGCAGCCGGGTCAACCCGGACGAAGCCTTGTCGTACACCAGCATCTTCTTCCCGGTGGAGGTTTTTGAGAGCTCACTCTCAGACCCCGGGCCTGGCAAGCAAGACGAAAGTGCCCAGGAGGTCCCGCTCGGGGCCCCAGGGGTGGTCCCTGTGTTTGATGCCCACAACCTTTCTGTGGGAAGTGACTACTATATTCAGTTAGAAGAAAAAGGTGGCAGCAACTCAGAGCTTGACTGCCCAATGGCACTGCTTACAACTGAAATGGCGGCTCATCCTGAGAGGATGAGTGATGAAGCGTCCCAGTTTGTGACCCTCAGGAATGTTGAGTTTGAGGAGTCCAGCACAGAGGAGGATTTCTTCCAAACCAGTACAGACCCAAAGGATTCTAGCATACCTGAGGATCTGCATGTCACTAGTGGCCCCGAGAGCCCTTTCAACAATATATTTAATGATCTTGACAAATCAGAGGATCTGCCCGGTCACCAAAAAATATTTGACGTAATGGAACTAAATGGGGTTCAGGCTGATTTCAAGCCAGCCACTTTAAGTTCAAGTTTGGATGAGCCCAGAGAGCCCATAATTCCTTGCCATTTTGAGAAAGAAAATCCCTGTAAGCTTTTTGACTGTGAGCCTCTTTGCTTATCAGAAAACCTTATGCACCAAGATAATTTTGATTCACTGAATGTTCAAGAATTGTCAGAAAACTTTTTATTTCTTAAAGAGAAAAACTTACTAAAAGACTCATTGTCTAGCAAAGAACATATAAATGATCTTCAAACAGAGCTTAAAAATGCTGGTTTTACAGAAACCATATTAGAAACTTCATGCAGAAACTCCTTAGATACTGAGCTTATGTTTGCTGAAATTCAACCAGGCTTTCCTCTGTTACAGGAAAATGTCAAGGCAAAGGGTAGAGATCTGGGAGTCGAGCTTACAGGCAACAGTTTGGACGTCTCATTGCCATCTCCTCCGGAAGTGCAGGTACCCTCTACCTCACTTGAAACAGAAGAGACACCCAACAGTGTACCTCCAGATGTGTTCCTGAGGCAGGGAGAAACCAAGCCCACGTGCTTAAATGTCAGTGTCCATGAAGATTGTCTCTGCCAAGAAGTAAATCCAGACTCTCTGACTGTCCCTGTTGAAATTCTTTCGACTGATGCCAGAACACAGAGCGTTAGTGATGGGCCCCAGGACTTGACTCACCAAAGTGAGGAGGCCTTGAGACTGACCAAAAATGACTCGGTAGGTCTTGATGATACCTTTGCGAGTAGCGTAGGCATAGGGAGTAGTCTCCCAGAATTGAGACAGAACTTAAAAAACCAACCACTTCCGGAAGACCACCATAGCGGTAGTTTGCTAGAGAAGAATTTGGAAGTCGTGGAGACTTTAAATGAGCTGAATTACAAAGATGTTCCAAAAGAAGTGGGCTTGGTGTCCGCCCTGTCCTCGGACTCGACTAGCCAGGACAGCCTTTTAGAAGACAGTTTATCCACACCCATACCGATGTCAGAACAGTCTGTGGAAACCCCGGACTCCTTGGATTCCATGGATGTGCGTGAGGTTTTAGACTCTCTGGGCTCTCACGCACCTCAGAAACTCCTGCCCCCTGATAAGCCTGCAGACAGCGGCTATGAAACCGAAAATCTGGAGTCTCCTGAGTGGACTTTGCACCCTGCTCCTGACAGTGCCTCAGACACAGACACCGCTGCAGCGGGCGATGGCGATCATAGAGGTTTGCCTCCCAACCCCGTCATCGTCATCTCTGATGCAGCTGATGGCCACCGAGGTGCAGAGATGACCACCACACAAACCCTGGTGACCACACAAACCCCGGCGCCCAGCTCTCAGAGTTCATATCGCGACTCGGCCTACTTCTCAGATAACGAGTCCGAGCCTGAGAAGAAGTCCGAGGAGGTCCCTGGAACATCATTGCCAGCCTCAATGTCCCTTCCTGAGCCCGTCCCCTCAGAGCACAGTGTTGGTGCCAAGGACAGTTGCCTGGAAACCAACAAGAGCCAGCCCGATCCCAGCTGCCTGCTGGCTTTGCAGAATTCCAGTTCCCTGGAATTGAGAGGTCTGTTGGAGCCAGTGCAGACTCATGTTTCCAGTCAGATGCCTCCCCCTGAAGATGAGGCTGGCAGCCCCTTGAGTTTATTGAATTCAGAACTTTGCAGCAGTGACGACTTTGAGACACAGGAAGACCACCCCTGCACCCTCACTTCCACCGGAACCAACACGAACGAACTCCTTGCGTACACAAGTTCCACCCTTCTCTCTGGCGGCCCAGCAGACCGGGCGATAGACAAGTCCTTGTCTGGCCACTCTGAGGGCCCCAAGCTGAAGGAGCCAGATATCGAAGGGAAGTACTTGGGGAAGCTCGGGGTTTCAGGAATGCTCGACCTTTCCGAGGACGGCGTTGATGCCGATGAGGAAGACGGGGATAGCGATGACTCCGATGACGACCTGAGGGCGTTCAGCCTCCACAGTCTCAGCTCCGAGTCAGAGGGTGAGGTGGAGCACCCCGTGCCTGTGATCCTCAGCAACAGCGAGGACGGCAGACGCCTGCGGAGCTTGCTGAAACCGTCGGCTCCTGTCTCCATGGACCAGCTACCCGATGCCTGGAGAAAGGAGAAGAAGGCAGTGACGTTCTTCGACGATGTTACTGTCTATCTGTTTGATCAGGTATCTGTTCTCCCTAAATGCCATGCAGAGAATCCCAGAACGTGTTTACAAATTTTAAGTGTGGTCTGTTCTAATTGCCATTGTGAGGCAACAGATAGTTTTATGATTACTTTAAAAAAATTTAATTTTGGGTTAGTTGCAGCTCTAAGACTATGCAGAAATGTAGTTTGCACAGGGAATTCATATTGAATTAAGGGAGGGAGACTACCTGGATGCCCTTCCTGGATCTCCTGATAGTTCTGCTAACATCAGTCACCCTGTACAGACCACATTTTTATAACCTGAGAATGGGCAGCAGTGCCCAGTCCAGGTAAATAGGTAAGCTCATATTAGTACAAAGCAGCATACTGCAGTGCTCTGGCTCCCAGGAGTGAGAGGGCTTGTATAGGGTATGCCCCCCAGAAGAGGCCCAGGATTTACTCACTTGCTCCCCTACCCCTCTACCGTGTTTGGTATGCAGCAGGTGCCCAATAAGTACATTTTGCTGAAGTGGAGAATCACAGAACTCTGCTCTTGACTGCTGAATAGGTCACATAAATTTGTCAGCTGGCCCAGCATGTAGGGGAGACCTATAATAGTTTCTGGCACATTAAAAACAAAAACCAGTTGATTCCAACTCATGGCGACCCCACGTGTGTCAAAGTAAAACTGTGCTCCCTAGAGTTTTCAGTGGCTTTAATCTTTACAGAAGCAGATCGCCAGGTCTTTCTTCCGAGGCACCTCTGGGTGGATTCTCACTGCTAACTCTCGGTAGGCAAGCAGTTAACCGTTTGCACCACCTAGGGACTCCTCCTTGGCACATAGTAGGTGCTAAGTATAAATAAATACTATTGATCAAGTGAATGACGCCCTACCAGTGATCAGGATATAGTGCGGCGAGTCTTCATAGTCCTCCAGTGCCAAGGACCCCTTATCCGGCAGCTGTAAGGAGAGCGGAGGGTGTAACAGGGCAGCAGGTGGCCTGTGGTCCTTCTGCTCTACCCCGTCCCCTCATTGTCCCCACCTCCATCCCCTCGTCGTTCCTGCTTCAGCTGATGGCTTAGTGTGCACTCTTCAGTTCCTTTAAAAATGTAGCAGCTCATAATCGAAGCATTCCTTTTCTTTAATGCCCTTTGCTTACCAGTCTCTGTAGCTCTTGAATTTGCTTCTTGAGTTAGCCTAGGACTGTAAATAGAGCTCCGTTGTAGGGCACATCTGAATGGGATCCCCCCCGCATTCCAGAAGTCCTGGCAGTCGTCTCCTTGAAGTTGCTTGCCTGCCCTTTATTTTGTTTCTTGGAGCCCAGGCCTCATCATCTCAGCCTCTGGCATCACCCCTCGGGCTGTACTTCCTCAGACTTGAGCAGTCCACACTCTGCGGCAGGTCCCTTGGGGGCTGGGTCGTTCCTTTCCGTTGACCATCACTTTATGCTTTGTTGTTCCTCTGTGTTCTGTTCACTTTTGTTTTCTGTTTACTTCTGTTTTCTGTTTCTCAAAAATAAAAAATTAATCCACCCCCATTTGAACTACAGTGTGCACTAGGAGTAGGGAGAGAGGTAAGTGGGTATTTTTTTAAAAAAGTAGATTCGGGGTCACCCTGACTGACTCTGGCTCCGAGGGGCCAAGAATCTGCATTTCTTCTGATTGCCGGGTGGTTCTTACACACGTCCAGACTGAAGACCCTTTGAGCTAAGGGAACCTATATAGTAATAATGCCGCTACTATGAGTGGAAAGGAGGAGAGATCATAGCCCCAGGTTTGGTGTTTTGTTACCATACATCCAAATTCAAACCTCCCTTTCCTTTCCATCTCTGTGAACTTAAATTGTAGGCACACTTCCCCATGGATTTACAGAAAAAAAAAAAAACCTGTTGCCTTTGAGTCAATTCCGATTCATAGCAACCGTATAGCACCAGGTGGAACTGCCCCATAGAGTTTCCAAGGAGCACCTGGCGGATTTGAACTGCCGACCTTTTGGTCAGCAGCCGTACCTCTTCACCACTGCGCCACCAGGGTTTCCTCCCCATGGATAGGGGCAGTTTATCAGTGGGAAAGAAATAGAAACTGCTCCATGAGTGGTGGGGGCAGAGCTCGGGGCCAAGGAAGACACGGCCCGCTTGTCCGGAAGTCTCCAGGTGTGGCTGGGGTAATGGGGTGGATGCAGCTCCCAGGGTTCCCCAGGGGCTCAGCTCATCTGCAGCTTTATGAAGGGTGCTGTATTTACTGACTTTAGAAGACAGGATGGAATTGCCCAAGATACGACTGAAGAAAGGGCCCAGGAGGAAAGGCACAGAAAGCAAATGTAAGACATATTTAATAGATGGGGGGCTTTGAGAAGGGGATTGGTGCCGTAGAGAAAGCTGGAAAGTGGGCTGAGGCCAGAAGAAAATCCTGCACATCTTTCTAGATGTCCTAGAATTCGTTTTCTTACGTGTCTTCTGCAATTTGCCTTGTAGTAAGAACTCTGAACTGTTTCAAGCTAATGATTGATAATCCTTCTGCTCTTATTCTATAACTTAATGAGCTGGTTAGTTTAGTTTTAAAATATTTTAAGTGTCTTAGCTCCAGAGTTTTAAATGGGCGTTCATGGGTTTGGAATCATTGCACATTGGTTATTCCGTATTAGTGAGTTCGGCGCACTTACTGCATGCGCAGCCGTGTGCCCACGCAGTCGTGGCTCCCCGTGACTAAGCGGCCTGCCACATGCCTGGGGCTGTGCTGGCACTTTGTACGCAGGGTCACATTACAGTGGTGATTGTCATCATCCTCATAGGGGTTGGCACCTTGCCCAGTGGCACATCCCCTAGTAAGTGGTGGAGCAGGCCCGGCCCCAGGTCTCTCCGACTTGGGCCACGCTTTTCACTGTGAGCCGCACCGCTGCACCCAGCCATGAAGTCGGAGCCTGGTGCAGGGTTTGACTCTGAGCACTGGCATTGTCTTTCCTGGATGCACAGTGTTCTGAAGGCAAACACGGTGATGATGACGCTGGCTTGCAATTAACATAACACATCGTTGCTCTCCAGCGTGACCAGGTGGTCACCGTACCAACGAACATTGAGCTCAGTCCCTTTGAGCAGAGCCGAGCTCATTATCTGAGTAGGGCAGGACACAGCGCCTCATAAAGCCAGCGCAGGTCACAGTCTAGAGCAGGGAGGCCCTCCTGAGCGTGGAAGGAATGGGCCTTCCTGGGCTCAGATGCGTGAAAGAGTGGGAGCCTCCTCCTGGGCCTGTGTGCTGTGCTTTTTGTTGTTTGTCTTCTTTAGTTCACTTTGGCTTAGAGAGGACATTTTCCTAAAAGAAAAGAAAATAGTGTAAGACAAAAACACTTTATTGGGGAAGTTTTGTTTTTTTTTTCCAATTTGAAGAATATAAAAAATACTGAAAAAAACTAAATATACCTATAAATGGCTTACCACTTAAAAAACAACAGTAACTCCAGAAAGGAAGACGTGAAAGGTTCACCCCACACCTGTCCCCACCCCACAGCTCCCCGGCCCTGCCCCGCCCCTGGCCTCCGCGTAATCCTTAGGCCCATATAATCCACGTGCCATTTGTAAGTCAGCTTTATGGAAATAAAAATACAGTAAACTTTGCCCCTTTAAAATACACAATTTGATGAATTGTTGCAGATGTCCAGTGTGTTGCCACCACCACAATCATGATGCAGTTCCATCAGCCCAGATTCTCTCAGCTCCTTTGTCATCGGTCCCCTCCCCTGGCAACCATTGATCTACCTTCTCTCACTCTAGTTTTTCCTTTTCTAGAATTGATTCTGAAATAGTGGTGGGATCATGCAGTATGTAATCTTACATGTCTGGCATCTTTCAGTTGGCGTAATGCATTTGGGGTTCGTCATGTTTCGTGTTTGCGTGGCTGAGTAGCATTCCATGTGTGGCTGTATTTCATTTTGTTTATTCATTCCTCTGTTGAACAGGCATTTTCACCATTTGGGTTTTTAATTTTTTTCCTGCTTTTTAAATTAACATATAGTAATATTGACCTTGTTTTGGTGCTACATTTGTGTAACCACCACCGCAATCGTGATACAGATACTCCCATCACCCCAGAAAACTATCTTGTGCCCCCTTGTAGTCACACCCACCCCTCATACCTAATTCCTGCGGCCATGATCTGTTCTCAGTCACTGTGGTTTTTGCCTTTGCAAGAATGCTACATAAACGGAATCATGTAGCACGTAACCTTTTGACAAGGGCTTCTTTTGTTCAGCATAATCCCTTTGAGATTCATCCAAATTGTTACGTGTATCAATAGTTCATTCCTTTTTATTACTGAGCGGTATTCCATGGTATGGATGTACCTGTGTAAAGTAGGAAAATCTCAGAATCCTGCTATTCTGCCCTCAACCATGAAGTTATAACAAATCTCCACTTTCCCACTTCTTTGTGTTCAGTTCTGACCCCCACCACCCATGCAGCGCTTCTCTCTCTGATCATGACCACTCGGAGCTAGCTCAGACCTCACACATTAAAAGGATACCGTCCCTCAGACTGCCAAATAGGCCACATGACACCTTCACTTCTGACCTGCTGGCTTCAGATCCAGGTTTTCCCAGTAGCCCTTCAGGATGCCAGCTGCAAGCTCAGGAGTCCCCCCCTGGGCTTCTTCACTTTCTGACCTGCTGGCTCCCACTACTCCTTTGGGTTCGATAATTCACTAGAATGAGTCACGGAAGTGCTATATCTACAGTTAACAGCTTTATCATAGCAAAAGAGAATATAAATGAAGAGATGCATCAGGCAAGGTCTAGGAGGGTTCCTAAGGCAGAGCTTCTGTGTCCCAAAGGATGCCTTCCTGAAATAAAGCCCACTTGATTGTAGAGTTTTGTTCTTTTTATATATTGTTGGATTTGATTTACCTAGTAGATTGTTGAGGATATTTGTGTCTATGTTCATGAGGTATATCGGTCTGTTTTGGGGGAAACTGTCTTTGTCTTGTTTTGGTATCGGTAATGCTGTTCTCATAAAATGACTTGGGAAGTACTTCCTCTTAAAGTTTCTGGAAGAGATTGTGTAGATTTGGGTTTTGTTTTTTTTTTAAATTTCTTAAAATGTTTGGTAGGATTTGCCAATGATAGCATCTGAGCCTGGGGATTTATTTTACAGAAGATACTGGATTACAAATTTAATTTCTTTAATAGTTATAGGATTATTCAGATTATCTATTTCATCTTGGATGAGCTTTGATGATTTGTGGTTTTGAGGAATTTGTCCATTTCATCTAAGTTGTCAAATTTATGTGCTTAAGAGTTGTTTGTAGTATTCTTTTACTGTCCTTTTTTTCTTTTATTGTACTTTAAGTGAAAGTTTACAGTTTAAGTTAGTCTGATACAAAAAGTTATACATACATTGTTATGTGGCCCTAATTGCTCTCCCTATACTGTGACAGCACACTCCTCCTTTCCATCCCTGATTTCCCATTTATGTCCCATAGTCCGGTCTAATCTTTGTCTGAAGAGATGGCACTGGGAATGGTTTTAGTTCTGGGTTGACAGAGAGTCCAGGGGCCATGCTTTCTGCAGTTCCTCCAGTCTCAGTCAGACCATTAAGTCTGGTCTTTGTACTAGAATTTGAGTTCTGCACCCTACTTTTCTCCTGCTCCATCTGGGACTCTGTTGTGTTCCCTGTCAGGGCAGTCATTGGTGGTAGCTGGGCACCATCCAGTTCTTCTGGTCTCAGGCTGATGAAGTCTCTGGTCTATGTGGCCCTTTCTGTCTCTTGGGCTAATACTTTCCTTGTGTCCTTGGTGTTCTTCATTCTCCTTTACTCCAGGTGGTTGGGACCACTTTATTGTCCTTTTAATGTCTCTGGAATCTGTAGTATTATCCCCTCTTTTATTCCTAATATTGGTTATTTTTGCCTTTTCTCTTTTTTTTCTTTGTCAGATTTGCTATAGGTTTATCAATTTTATTGATCTTTTCGAAGACTCTCTTTTGATTTTGTGGATTTTTTAAAAAATTATTTTCTTTTCAGTTTTATTATCTTTATTATGTTATTCCTTCTGCTTGCTTTTGGTTTATTTTGCTCTTTTTTTCTAGATTCTTAAGGTGAAAGTTTAAGATTTGAGTCCTTTTTTCTTTTCTAATATTACCATTTAATGCTGTAAATTTCACTTTATATGCAGTATTTTAACTGTTAGGTTTTTGTTCTTAGGTGCCGTCAAGTGGGTTCCAACTCATAACGACCCTATGCACCACAGAACAAAACACTGCCCGGTCCTGTGCCATGCTCACAATCGTTATGCTTGAGCCCATTGTTGCAGCCACTGTGTCAGTCCATCTTGTTGAGGGTCTTCCTCTTTTTTATTGACCCTGTTTTTCTATCTACTTATTCTATTTTTCTGAGAGAGGAATGCTGAAGTCTCCAACTATAATTATGGATTTTTCTATTTCTCCTTTCATTTCTGTCAGTTTTTGCTTTATGTATTTTGAAGCTCTGTTGTTAGGTGTATACATACTTAGGATTATTATATCTTCTTAGTGAATTACCTTTTTATATTATGTAATATCCTTCTTTATTCCTTTGTCTGATTTTCATATAGCTACTCAAGCTTTCTCTTGATTGATATTTGTGTGGTGTATCTTTTTTCACCCTTATACTTTTAACTTACCTCTTTTGTTATATTTGATTTGAGTTTCTTGTAGATAGCATATAGTTGGGTAATGAGTTTTTTTATCCATTCTGAAAATCTCTGTCTTTTAATTGGTATATGTAGACCGTTTGCATTTAATATACTTAATTAATATGTTTGGCTGTAGGACTGAGACCAGAAGAACTAGATGGTACCCGGCTACCACCAATGACCGTCCTGACAGGGAACACAACAGAGAGTCCCTGATGGAGCGGGGGAAGGGTGGGATGCAGAACTCAAATTCTAGTAAAAAGACCAGACTTAATGGTCTGACTGAGACTGGAGGAACCCCAGAAAGCATGGCCCCTGGACTCTGTCAGCCCAGAACTAAAACAATTCCCAAGGCCAGCTATTCAGACAAAGATTGGACTGGACTGTGGGACATAAAATGATACTCGTGAAGAGAATGCTTCTTAGCTCAAGTAGGTACATGAGACTAAATGGGCAGCTCCTGTCCAGAGGTGAGATGAGAAGGCAGAGAGGGTCAGGAGCTGGTTGAATGGACACGGGAAATCAGGTGGAAAAGATGAGTGTGCTGTCACAGTATAGGGAGAGCAGTTAAGGTCACATAACAATGTATGTATAAATTTTTGTATGAGAGACGAACTTCAATTGTAAACTTTCCCTTAAACTGCAAAAGTAATATATATATATATGTTTGGCTGTAGGAGTACCATGGAGTCCCTGGGTGGTGCAAACAGTGAACATGCTTGACTGCTAACTGAAAGGCTGAACGTTTGAGTCCACCCAGAGGCACCTCGGAAAAAGGTCTAGTGGTCTACTTCTGAAAAATCAGCCATTGAAAACCCTATGGAGCACAGTTTTACTCTGACACGCATGGGGTTGCCATGAGTCAGAACTGACTTGACGGCAACTGGTTTTTGGTAGTTTTAGGTTTCAGCACTTCCATTGTGATGTGTCTGACATGGATTTCTTTGAGTTTATCCCAGTTCGAGTTTGCTGAGTTTCTTCAATCTGTAGCTTTATGTCTTTCACCAAATTTCAGAAGTTTTCTGTCATTATTTCTTCAAATAGTTTTTTCTACACCATCCTGTCTCTTCTCCTCTGCAACTCCAATGTTAGACCTTTTAGTGTTGTCCCACAGATTCTGAGGCTCTTTTCCTCCCTGCCCCGCCATCTTTGTTCTCGTTGTTGTTCAGACTGAATAATTTCAATTGATGTATCTTCAAGTTCACTGATTCTTTCCTCTGTCATCTCTGTCATGCTATTGAACTCATCCAGTGAGTGTTATATTGGTTGTTGTATTTTTCTATTCTGAAATTTTTATTTGATTTTTCTTGTTATCTCTCCTTTTCTGAAACTTTCTGTATTCCCATATCTTTCAAGAGTGTTTGTCCTTACTTGTTGGAATGTTTTTATAATATAGTATATTTTTTAGATAATTTCAATATTAGTGTCATCTTGGCATTGGCAACTATTGATTGTCTTTTCCTGTATTTGAGTTGAGGTTTTCCTGGTTCTTTGTATGCTGAGTAATTTTAGATTGTATCTTCATATTGTCTTATGCAACTCTGTATGTTGTGTATACAGAGAATGTTGATATTTTTGTTTTAGCAAGCATTGTTCCAGGTGAATTTAGGCACAAGTTCTAACCAGCCTTCTGTGGGTTATGGTTTCAATATTAGTTTCATTTTCAAGGCCTTTGCTGTGCTATTTGAATCTGTCCCATGCGTGTGCCACCAGGGGCCAGACTGGAGCTTGGGCAGCGATCCACCGGGTCGTTCAGTTCTCAAAGCCTTGGTGTGTGTGGTTTACGGTCAAATCTACCACGCGCTGCTCAGGCGTAACAGTCTTACGGGGTTGCTTTCCTGAGCTCTTCCCTCTCCCCTATGTCCCTGTGCTTTCTGATTCCTCGAGTCTCCCCTCTTTGGTCCTCCAGCCAGAGAGGTGGGGCTTCGATTACCATACTCTGCCACACACTTCCTGCACCTGTGCCCCTGCCCCGTACCAAGCGACGGGGCTCTCCTCACTCTCCTGGGATCACAACTCCTCCAGCTGGAGAGGACGGCTCCCCTCCCTTAGAATTTAGGCCCCTGTCGCGCAGTTGCTGGCACTGTGTTGCCAACACTTCTACCGTGGGGTTACTTGGGGCTGGGAGTGAGAGAATGGAGAGAAAAAAAATCTACTGGAATTTCCTCCACTCTCTCTGAGCGTCAGAAAACCCCCTTCCTGTCTGTCCTGGTGTCTGCATTGGCTTTCAGGCTGTGTTGAGGCCAAGCCAGGGGATATTGGAGGAACAAGTGGCATACTCTCCAAGGTGTGGTGGTGCTTTGAATCTCAGTCTTCTTCCCCAACTGCTGGCTGCTCTTTGCTTTTCAAGAGCCCTCAGAGAGCTGCTTCCTGCATCTGCCCAGGTTCCAGAGCTGCCCTCCGAGGGAGGGAGGGTCCTGTGTTCTCAATCCACCTGACCCTGGCCTGGAACCACTGTTTGTTTTACCACCATCCCTCATCACTGAGCAGTCAAAGGCGCTGCCGGGCTCGGGGGGCGGGTACCCTGGTGCTACCTGCAAGCAGACGTTTGCTGACAGGAGTTTCTGTTGGGCTTTCAGGAGACCCCAACCAAGGAGCTGGGGCCCGGTGGAGGAGCAGCGCACAGCCCCGAGTTGAGCAGCCCGGCACCTTCCGCAGGCTCTCCCTACCTGAGCAGGTGCATCAACTCAGAAAGTTCAACCGATGAAGAAGGTATTTCACTTCATGACAAGTTTAAAAAGAAGCCGGGAAAGAGTGCTTTGTGAATAATGTCAGCTTGTTCTGAGGGCAGCTTGGCCTCTTCTCTAAAAGGCCCTGTGTCAGTAGGGGAGGGCCAGTTCTGCAGACACAGCCCCCGTCCCTCAGCGAGTCCGGCCTGCAGAGCACACCTCTGTCCAGCTCTCTTCTCCTTCCTCAATCCAGAGAGATGATAAAAGGAGGGTTTCTTCTTATCTGTCGTTTTTAGGCGGAGGCTTCGAATGGGATGATGACTTCTCCCTGGACCCTTTTATGTCCAAGACAGCGAGTAACCTTCTTGGTTCCAGGCCTTCTCTGCAGACGTCCAAGTACTTCTCTCCTCCACCACCGCCCCGGAGCCTGGAGCAGAGCTGGCCCCACACGGCGCCGTATTCCAGGTTCTCCATCTCCCCTGCCAGCATTGCAAGCTTTTCCCTCACTCACCTCACAGACTCGGACATGGAGCAAGGAGGTGAGGGGCAAGTGTGTGTGGGTGGTCTCAGCTGAGGGAGGGTCCCCATTCCCATGCAGTGCGTGCTGACCCGTCATAGCTTGCTGTCTGCTGAGTACATTATAAAATGTCCTTTAAAGCACGCAGCTGTCTTCACACTGTCCTCCCCAGCACGCTGTCCACTTCAAGGCCTGGGGCACCCACGAGCTCATTGCCGTGGCAGGGGCAGCGCTGGCTGTGCCCTGCTCAGGTGGGTGACCGAGGCTGGGGCAGGCGTGAGGGTGACTGGAAATCACCCCGGGTGCCTCCCCTTTCTTCCCTTGTCCCTTTGTTCTGCAGCTCCTCCCTAGCACCTGTCCTCTCCTGCCCCCACCTCTCTGCTTCTGCTTCTTTCCCCTACAGAGAAGCAGCTCTTCCAAAGGTCTTGCTCTTCAGAACACTTGACTTGTGATTCTGGGATGGAGCCCACACAGTCTTGGCTCTTCCCCCAGGAGTATTGGTTTTGCCATTAGTCTTGGTCTCCGGGAGATACCACAAGGTGCTGGGTGGCATTTAATAGGCAGGGGCACATTTGAAGTTGTATTATCTCAGCATATGGACCCTTTTTTTCCCCATAACTAGATGGAAAGATAAGTGTTAACAGGTGTACTTTTTTAATTTGAAGTGTACGGGTCAGGTTATAAATATGAACTCTAAAGAGCTTTCATTTGTGTTTGTACTCTCTTGTATTTGTGCAGATTAGATAATGCCCATTACCTAATGATCTGTCAGAGAGGCCAATGTTTAGAGGTCAGGCTTGCTTTTCTTGGGGGCCCTGAGCGCTGAGGCTGAGTGGACGTGTGAGTTAAAACATGTGTTTGGATAGGAGCGTCTGGCAGGTGTTACTTTTGAAGGAAGAAAAAGTGCGGCTTGGGCAGGTGTTGGATATCCAAACACTGGCTCCTTTTCCTTTCCTGCACCGCGGGTTAGATATTACCCAAACCATTATTGTCTGTGACGATTGTTTTAAAAAGCCCTGTCACAGCTCTGTCGTGTGCTTCCTCTCTCCTAAACAGGAAGCAGCGAAGATGGAGAGAAGGATTAAGTGGGTGCCGACACCCTCCTCGGGCCGAGGCTGTGCCCCAGAGCTGTGTCCCTGCGCTGCCAGCCCGAGCACGGACGTCCACTCCACTTGTGCTGAGACGAGGCTTTGAGAAAGAACCAGGCGGTGGAAAGAGAGGCAGCGGCAGGGTGGGGACTGCAGGCCCAGGAGGAGCAGCAAGGAGCAGGGAGCCCAGGCAACGTGCTGGCGCCCGGGGCCATACCTGCAGTGGCTGCTACACAGGAGCGCTCCGTCACCACCTGTGCCGCCATCTCGAGCGGCTCTGTGTGCACAGAACTGAGCGTGGCAGGTTGTGTCCTCTCCCGTGTCATGTGTCCTGTTTGCATCTGCACCTGTGCCATGCACGCAGGTGCTCCTTGCGCCACTGAGGATGCATGCGTGGGAGCGGTCGTCATGAGCCATATTTATTACTTTTGAAGAAATCACTGATTGCTGTCATTGCACTGTGGGCAACTGTTCTACGAGTCCCCGATACTGTACAGAACCTTAAATTATTCAAGGAAAATAAGGCGGGTCAAGCTGGTGCCACCCACCAGTTTGATTTTTTTCTGTTCTGTCGTCTGTTTGCTCTGCATGGTACTTATAAAGCTTAATATTCTGAGTGTTACGCTGTCGTTACAATCGCTGAGACTGCACACGTGGTACTCTTTCATAAACGGTAAATGATTCCAAACGTTACCGTTTTATGTTCTTGTAGGAAATATTTTTGATGAGTCAGAAAACACTACTCTGTTGTGTTGATTGAATCAAACACATTTCTGTGTACAAGATGGTCCCCTGCAGCAAACGAGGCCTCTCCGTGTGCTTCTACACCTCACCCCACATTTCTAAAAGCCTGTTGGTTAAAAAGGACAGGTAGTGCACCCAGAACTCTGCTCTCCTGGGGAGCCAAGCGGGGTTCCTCTCACTGCATCATCGGGCGGGTAGGTGAGCCGAGTGGCAGACAGAGTGCGGCCTCCTCCCCTCAGAGCTTGAGTCTTCTGCTTGTTTTTCCAAGGCCAGATTCCTGTTTCTCGTCAGCGTTCTTGTGAACGTTCTTGTAATGCTTGCGACTCTTCCTTTAAAAAGGTGGAGAACTCCAAGAGGAAGCTTCTCCTGAGTTCTCGGGCTGCTGAGGATGTGTGAATTCATTCTATTTGTACCCTTCAGATGTTGTTGACTTGAACTTTTAAATAATCCCCAAGCTGACTTTCTCCCTTGTAATAACTCCAAGTACATCCAGGTGAGGCCAGTCTTGTCTTAATCTGGGAGAGACACCACATCCTGCAAGGGATAAGGACATAGCCTTCACAGCAGCACATCCCCCAGCTGGGACAAGCAGGTGTCTGCAGCTCTGGGGTGCCCCCCACTGCTGACTCACCCACCTCGACCCTGGCCTTCTGCATTAAGCGCCAAGTTTTCCCTTTGGTATGAAAGGGGCCAGAGCGTTCCCAGTGCAGCTTCGTGATGTTGGCAGGAGTCAGGTGTTGGTAATGAAGAGCTAGCTAGCTGCTTCACGGGAGGCACTTCCCATGGCAGGCAGTGTACCATGGGTTCTCGGGTCTGTGCGCCGCACGCTGGCCCCTCACCTGAGGGGGTCCTGCTGCCCCAGCTCCTCCCTGAACCCTGGCTCACCACATAAGGGGAGCCTGGGAACTTGTTCCCAATGCAGAGATTTATTTTGGCCCACGTTTGTGTGGTAAAGCGTGACCTTTATGACCAACTCTGGCTTGCTCCACTGATCCTTTACACTCACAGTGAAGTCCCAGAGCAAGAAGTCACAGAGCAGATGAGGCCCCTTTCAACCTCCGCCTGGTGTGGACACGGAATTGCAGGAGTTACAGAGACAGTGGGACCTGGTGGTGTGCGGACCAGAAAGAAACAGTCAACAGGACACCAGAGGACAACTTTGCCAAACTTGTCTTAACTCCCAGCTTCTTACTGGAGACTCTTCTTGAGCTTCCTGGATTTTACATCTTAACTACCTGCGGTCTTGGTTGGGACAGAAATGAGAGGCGACTGATTACACTAGTGTTTTGTGTTTTTTTTTTTTAATTATAGATTTAAGGGTTTCATGATTAAAATCCAGCAGATCCATAGAATATAGAGTCTTCTTATCTGGTCAGCCCAGGATAAATGTATTGATATTTTGGGGCTGTGCATTTTCACCATGATTAAGAAGATTTTAACATCATTCCCATTTTAATTTATATTTTTAAACCAAATCAGCCACTGTCTTGAACTTCAGCTTCAGTGAAAAGTTTTTTTTTTAAGTCTATATTGCTCTCCTAATTAATTGCCAAAAAAATGCATTTTATACATTGAGTTGGGGGGGAGGGATTTGGTGTATTAAATCTTACTGTGGTATTGCATGAAAGGGAAGATTTTATATTTATAATAAACACGTGAGTTAACATGTTCATTTGAAATCTCAAGCAATACACAGGAAATGAATTTAATTAAGTAGATTTAAACTTTCAGCCCGTTGTCGAAGTGTCAGCATGTGCTTTGTTCTCTGATTCCGTTTTTTAATAAGTTGGTTACAAGTAGTGGGTTTTCAAAACTTGCTTGTTCTAACAAGTTATTTGGCAAAAATAAGTTAGTGGGATTCTGTTCTGTGATGTGGGTGAAGTTTATATTAACCTGGTCCACAGTCATATTATCTGCCCTCCTTTGGGTAGAAATCCAGAATCTATCAGGTTTTAATTAGTCTTTCTTTGGAGTAGTTTATGTGCTTTAAATCCTGTAGTAAAAATAATCTAACCTTTATTTCCTCCCTAGCTAGATGTTAATTTGTTTTATCAAATGACCCTGTCATAAAGCTAGAATTAGAAACGTATAAAAAGTGCCCCCAGAACCTTCTGCAGTGTGGACTGTGTCTGGCTAAGAAGCTGTCCGTCTTTGGGTGGAAAGAAGCTCAGCTTGTGCTGAATTGAAAACAGAACATCCATTCTATTTTTAGATGTACAGGTGATTGTTTCTACAGAAATGGGTTATCTGTGAAAAGTCTTTGTATGTCTTGCTGCCATAAAACGCCTTTCACAACCTCTTTCCTTTGTTACTGTTTCCTGTGGGGTATTTGTAGGGTTAATGGTCATTGCATTTGAGTTCTGAGGGCCTGGGCCGTGGGGAGGTGCCTCCTGCTTTTATACCACTCGGCCTGTCCTTTGAAAATTCAGAAGTGAATCAAGTGTTATATTCCAAATGTTGGTGTTAGCTACAGGGGACTTGAAAATATTAGCCTTACAAGAAGTAGCCTTAACTTAAGAATGGGTGTACACAGTTATTTCAGATCCACATCTCAAAAACACTCTTCCTAAGTAGTAATGGGGTTGGTTCAAGTCTTGGCTATTAAAAAAGAAAACTCTCCTTCAAATATAAATGAAGTCCCAGAGACGTGTTGACAGTATTGTATTACCAGCAGCCTGTCAGGATGACTAGGAGTGGTGTGGACACCTGCTGTGTTGTAAGTTGTTCGGGTCTGCACACGGGAGGCGGACCACGATGGGGGACTGGTGGTGTACACACCCACCACTCAACCCCGTTTGCACGTTTGCGGACAAGGGCCCACGGAGCAGTCACACCTACGAGGCTTTCCTGTTCTCCTTTTCCACAGCCTTCAGAGGCTCATGGCAATACACCAGTTAACGAACTTTCAGTTTAAATTGTGTACATTTTTAAATTGTAAAATTTTTACTGTATATGATGCATAGTGTGATTCAGTAAATTGCTTGTAATTTAAAAACTATTTAATATTCAAGATAAATATAGTTATATATTTATAAACTCTGTAGCTGCGTTTATTCCGTGTCTTTTCCCCCCTGGGTGGAGGTGGGTGTGGGCGACTTGGCCCTTCCAGTGGCGCCAGGTAGCAAGCATTGGCCCCTCTTCAGGAAGACCTGAACTTCCCCACACTCCCGAAAACGTGAAGGCTAGTTCAAATACTGAAAAACGAAACTTTCAGGTAGTGTGTATGCTGCTATAAAATGAAGCTGCAATCTGAAGCCTTTGCACTTACGATGGATTTCAGAAGCATTTTAATTTCTGAGCACTTGGGCCGGCCCAGCCGCAAATGAGCTCCAAGCACCAAGAGGCGTTTCTGTTACCTCTCCAGGTAACAGCCTCCTACCAAACCAAGGCCCAACGGGTGGCTTCTGGCACCTGCTCAGGTCCCACCAACGTGGGTGTAACCCTTGGGGAGTAGAGAAAGGAAGACTCAACCCCAGTCCAGAGATGCTAGAGATGGGGCAGCGAGTGACAGTGTGGGACAGTTCCTTCAAGTGTCCCAGAGGTGGCAGCGCCCACCTCGCTCCTAGTGCACAACCTGGTCCGCCGGTCCTTTAACCCGCTTGTAAAAGGTGAGGAAACTGAGGCAGAGAGTGATTAAGTAAAGCTGGTGGGTGGCAGATGAAGCAGTGTTAGCCCAGTGGTAGAATTCTCCCCTTCCATGTGGAGACCTGGGTTTAATTCTGGGCCAGTGCACATCATGCACAGCCACCACCCATCTGTCGGTGGAGGCGTAACATGTTGCTATGATGCTGAATAGGTTTCAGCAGAGATTCCAGACTAAGATGGGCGAGGAAGAAGGACCTGGTGATCTATCTCAGAAAACCAGCCGTTGAAAACCCTACGGATCACTCAGGACTGGGCAGCATTTAGTTACCTTTGGGCACAGAGTTGCCATGAATCAGGGGCGGACTCCAGGGGGACAGCTAACAAGTGGGTGGGCAGAGCAGATTTTGAGCCCCGTCATGGAGACCTACTACTTGAGGGTGGGATTCGGGGATCACCAATTATTTCCTAGTAACCTGGACACAGTCCTTCAGAGGAGGTGCCGCCCACATCTGATACCCGGCTCCCACTGCACAGCCCGGGTGGGTGGTGGGGGTAGGGTAGCTTAGATGTCTCTGTGTCCACAGCCTTTTGGGTGCTGCAGGGTCCCCCGGAAACATCGGAGGTGAGGATGTGGTGGTGGCCTTGCCCTTTGGTTTGTTTTCCATCAGAACCAAGCAGCTTCAGCTATTGCTCTTCAAGCCTGTTGAAGATACTAGCCTGGTTGCAAAATGGCTTTTCCACGAATTAATCTCCTGGAACTTTGGCTCCGCGCGCTGAGTCTTCACCCCAAAGCCAGGTGCGGCAGCCAGGTGCAGTCCCGGGGCTTTCCCCGCCCCACCGGCCAGGAGCAGCCTCGAGCTCCCCATCCACTAAATGGGCTTCTCGGCCTCACTCGCTTCGGGGCAGCCAGGACTCCGCGCCCTCGAGCGGCCGGGCTGGCGGCGGGGGCGGCCCTGCGCGGGGCAGGGAGGGGGCGCGATCCCTGGAAGCCAGGTGCCTCCGGCCCCCGCCCCCCGCGCTGCCGGGGACACCAGACAGCCCGCCCTCTCCCCGCCCCTCCGGCTCATTTACATGCGTCCGCGCCCCGCCCGAGGCGGCTAAAGCGACGTGTCCTTGTCCCCCGTGGGCAGCCGGCGCGTGCAGCCGCGGATCCACAGGTACCCGAGGGCGGGGGTCCGGGCGGGGGTGAGGGTCGCGGCGGAGTGGGGGCGCCTGGATCGGAGCCCCGCCGAGGCCACCCACGTGGCAGGACTAAGGGGGGTGCTGCGCAGCTACTGCCGACCTCTGACCTGCGACATCTGCCCCGTGCCCGCGGCGGATCGGGTCGCTGTGCGGGTCATGTCCAGGACCGGAGTGTGGCTCCCAGTTCGCTGGCTGTCCGCAGATGCAGGAGCAGCCGAGCAGCTGGCCACAGCGAAGGTCCTCCGGGTGCGTCTCCGCTAATCAGAGCAAGTGCCAGGGTCACCTGAGCCCAGGAGGCACTCAGGGGCCAGAGGGTGGTCCCTGAGGTCAGTGGGCGCCACCCAGGGGCAGAGGGGGCACAGGACGGGAAAGGTCCGAGAGTCAGTGTGGGGTCAACTCTGGGCTAGTGTGTGACGGGAAGGACCTGGGTCCCCGTGCGCCCAGGGCTCAGCTGTCTTTGGGCTGCGAAGAGAGGAGAGTGACGGGGGCTGACTGCCCTAGTGTCCACCGTGTCCACCGTGAGTGTCCATAGTGAGTGACTGCTGGCGCCTGTGTTCTGCATTTCAGCTCCCAGAGCCTCCCCGCAGAACCCACCTCCTCAAGCAGCCCGTCCCAGCCATGAAGACCAAGAGTCGGGCCTCCAGGCGCCGGAGGTCCCCTCAGGGCGCAGAGGCCGCCGCCGGGGAGCAGACGCCCGAGAGGCCACAGCCGGGCCCAGGGCCGGAGCCGGGCCG